ACTTTAAGGACAAGAAATTTAATAATTAACTCATTAGTAATTTTGCCCTTGACCTTGTAGCTGACGGCAGCTGCAAGCTTTCACCTCAATTAAACCTTTGTTAAAATAATCTCTGTTATGATCTATTTAAAGGTAAATAGTATGGAGCGGGAGCGCTGGGATTAGGGCAGCTGTGCGGCATAAACGGCTGTGTCTTAATGTTGGCTGTGGGTGCCTAATCATTCTGATTCACTGCGTTCCTTTTGTGGCTGAAGTGTGTGGTCTGTCCTTCGAGGGTCCATTGGATTCCCCGTTTTCCTGGGAAATATGTGCTTTCGTTGGGCTGTTTGAAATGTAAGCATTTATTACATGGCTCAACAAGAAGGATCTGGTTGCAGAAGAGGTGACAACTGCATTTTAAGTGTAATTCTTGGATTACTGTCAGGCTCCCAGCGGTGCTTCCTCATTGGGTCAATGGCTGGCCCAGCAAGGTCTTATATAACACTCTGGGAATGAACTGAGCCTGGTTCCCCAGAACTAAAGTGCTGTGTCAAATAGAAACGGAGCCTCTAAGGATCTCAGAAGTTGGAATGACATCCAGAAAATGAGTTATTCCTGCTTTTCTTTACCCAGACTTTTAGAAAAAGTTCTCTCTTAAAGTTCTCTAGTCCCTGAGATCAAATATGTCAATAGGAAATTAATATATTTTGAATTTCTTTCCTTTTTGACAATTTTGAGTCATTTCCAGCTGGAATTCAGTCCTTCCATATGCTTTTTGTGCAACATTAAACCAGTTCCAACCAGTTTGTCAGCCCCGAAGTCTAGCTGTAATTATGCAGGATACTTTGCAGGGTTTTGGAATTATGTCTTGTGACTCATGGGCTCATGTACGTGTTGGAAAGCCACATGGCTGGCAGCACCTTCAGATGATCACATTTGGTTGACCACTTGCCCCCTAAACAACAATCATCCCTGGAAAGCATGGAAATGCCCCCCCCCACACACACATATATCAATACAGGCTGACAGGGGCTCCATGTAGCCCCGGGAGGGTACGAGGCAGGGGAATCCCTTAGACAGGCTGCCACTCCATTGCGCTGTTTGCAATGAACCTCTAATTTCTGTTTGGGGGTAAATATCAATGTGATTCTTGTAGTATACAGAGGAGTTAATAGTCTCCTGAATACAAAAAAAACGGAATGATCACATTGTCAGTCTGTCAGGAGTCTTTACTATGGCAATGAACTGATGATTTTGTCGTTCCTCCAGTTCCCCATGATTCTCGGCAGTCATACTGTAGGTGAATAAGTCATGGCCACAGCTGTGTATGTGTATGAGAGAATGCTCTTTAATTACAACAAGCAGCCTGGACTAATCTCATGTGTAACTTGAGCCCTCAGTCCATGAAATCTGGTTTTACTTTGTTTACAGTGCAGCCCTCCTTAATTGAGGTCATTTTTTATGAAGAAGAATCTGAAATCTGGCCAATATTCAGGGCACGTTGCTCCCTGGGGCCAGAAGACAGATGCAGTGCATGCTACTCAGGGGTTACTCAAAGTCAGCATCCCCACCCTACCCCCCCCAGCCCACCACACGCATGCACCCCTCTTAGTTAAATGGTCTGCTTCAGTTAAGGAAGAACTGAGGTTTTTGTGAGTCTGAAACAGACCCACAGAATCTGGAGGTGGTGTGTGTTATGGTAAATGCTTTTAGGAAAGCTTAACTTTGGAGGGGTTTTTTTGTGCAACATTTTTTGCTGTTGTGTTAGGGACCGGTAACTAAAACAAAACTATTATATTACACCCATTGTCCAGTTGGTTTATTATGATAACGATTTAACCTCAAAGCAAGTGGAGAAAAAATCCATTTACAATTCAGAGCGTCCAGTTATTTGCTCCCGATGCAATCTTTTGGGTATGGAATCCTTCCCGTTTGCTGCTATTATGCTGGTGTCAAGTATTTCTGGAATACTTGAGGATTTTGGACTATCATTGGGATTTTCCTGTATTATCATTTTTCTGAAAGCTTTTCATAACCCTCAGAGTCATTTGTCAAGGCGCCTGTGCCAATGTGGCCCATTGGTTATGAATTTTTAAACATCAGTAGAGTATCTCCACTGGTATCTCCATTGGTATCTCCACTGGTATCTCCATTTTTTTTTGTTAGTCTGTCTTTTTCTTTTGTTAAAGTTAACAAAAATCGACTGTTAACCGAATTACTTGCTCTTGTAAGATCTTTGATTTTTTGTTTTTAATAAGGAATGTGCAACCATTTAGGACAGAAAGCCTTGTACAGTACATACCTATAAAAAAGTTAGACTGGGGGGTATGTTCCTTACATGTTCTGAGTGACTGACCCCCTGCCGCTCCCGCCTACGCTGTTGGCCAGAGGCTGGATCCTGAGTTGTTCCTAAGACTGATACCATCTCGTCTGTCTGCCACACTGCGGCCTTGATCTCCACATGTGTGCTGTGACCTTGCATGTTTCCATAACACGTGTTGATGAAATTAATGGAGTCTAGGTTTAGCTAGGAAATACCAAGACCCATATATCTTCCTGTTGTAAAGGGCAGCCCAGGCATTGTTCCTGTTCCACTGCTTTAGGATGAAACAAACCTTTTAACAAGGCTGTGTAGATTTTCCATGTAGTCCCCTTTCTTATCTGATGACCTTACTCTGAGATGTTTCTCAAAATACCATAATATTTACATCTCCAGGATGCAAAATGGTATTTGATGTATGTGGTTGGTTAGTGTGTAGGTCTATAAGTCTTTCTTTACTAAACTCTATAAATTAATTTGTACAGTGCTGTAGTATATCTAACTAATAATTCCTCATCTGGACTTTGATCCCGGAATGCTGGGCCAGGACCATATTAAACTGATTCTTTTGTGCAATTCAGCACTTTGTGTGATGGATGCCGAATCATCGTGTTCTCTGCCACCCCTCTCCGAATTGGTGGCTGTTTGTGTAAATGTCCGTGTGCAGACAGAAGGAGCAGAGGAGGAGGTGGGAGGGGAGGGTAGGGGGTGTGGGTATTGGAAAGAGGGAAATGGAGACAGAGGAGTAAAGGGGAGTTAAACTAGCCTGGGTCTCCATTGGTGGACAGAAATAGCCCCTGCATTACTGGTCTTGCACTTGTACCGTATCCCAAACTGCATTCCTGTCCCGGGTACGAGACAGGGGGGTGGTTATGACTGTCAGACTGACCGATCTGGATCTCCTCTGGTTCTAGGGTCTCCTTCTCTTTATCCGGTCCAATAATAGTGCGATTCATCCCTGTTATCGAAAAGTTAATTGCCACTTTAGGTTTGGTTTGAACTGTCTTGGCCCTGTTTGGCAGACACATGACCTGGGTTATGTCAATTATTGTGCCACACCAACCTGTGTGTGACTCATCGCTAAGCTAAATTGCCCAGCGAGGTGTCTGCACTCACAATTACACTGATTCATTAAGGAGGGAGGTTTGTTTTGTTTTTGAAGATGATACACGTGTTTTCTTGCATCACTAGCTCTGTCTGCCTAATTTAGTCGTTTATGTGGAATAAGTAACTCGGTAAAAGCTGAACCGTAGCGTTTAGACTCCCTCTGCGCTATTACAGGTCAGCTTCCAGTGCCTAAATGGTCAATAATTTTCTATGGATGGGCGTGGGGTGGCATGAAGCAGCCAGTCTCTTTCCAGAGGGACAGACCTGCCCCCACCACACGCCTGAAATTGCTAGCCATAAATAGCTCGCACGCCACCATCCTGTCTGGCTGGTGGCGAAGGACGTTAATTTATTACTCTGTTTTGGAGAGAGCGGAAGTTGTCAAGTTCGACTAAAGATGCTCCAGTCGAGCTGGTTTGGCTCATGTCTATATTGTAAACAAATTACAATAGTGGGGTTTAAATCAGCAATTAAATGTTGTATTGTGTAAAGAGATACGTATTAAAATGTTTTTCCTTCTCCCCATTACTTGAAGTCATCCTTTCATTCTGCACATGAACAGCTCTGACCCACCAGTCGAAGGAGGGTTGGTGTCAACGATGTGACAGTTTTCAGAGTGTATCACATTAAAACAGAAGATACTACTACTAATAATAAAGGGGTTTATTAATGGGAAGTGGTCTGCTAATATGTCTTTTAGATTTTTGAAATTACCGTGTGGGAATGGCAGTTTGTTGTCAATCGACTGAGCATGATATTGACCAAATAAACACACCTTGCCTCTTGGCTGGTACGACCTGGAAAGCCTGCTTGTAGTTACTGTATGTCGCCTGCTGATTGGGTATCTCTGTAGGATCTGACTAGCTTTGCTCTGGAAGCTTCAGGTTGGCCAAGGCTTCTCTGGTGTGATGTTGGTCAGGTCAGCTGGCTGTAGATTGCATTTCAGCTGCATTTAGACATGCGTGTGTCCCCCCTACCGGCCGTAGCTCCTCCATGTTATGCAATATGCAACAGGACCTGTGATGTGCAAAGAGATGAATCAGACTGGTGGCCACAGTACCAGAGAAGTAAACACCCTTTCTGCTGACAGGAAGAGAAGAATAAAAAAAAAGACTAATGAAACCTATGTGAATGTGAGCAGGCCTTTCTAGATCTTACAGTCAGGGGATCCTGGCCATCCCACGGAGAAATTTTGGTCTCTGCTAGAATTCGGGAAGGAAGCCTGTGGTTGTGACTAGATGCAGATTAGTCTGTGGTTGCGAATCAAAGGGGATGACTGATCCGCATGAAGGGCGCTTGCGGAGGATGTGGAATGGCTCTGGAAGATGGTGGACAGAGCAGAGGAGTGTAACTGACAAGGCAAGGAGGGCCAAGAGTCCGACAAACGACATCGCTGTAGCTCTACCACAGTAGCATGATCTGTTTTAGTGGAGCCAAATGCAAGCTAATAGCTACCAGAAGACAATCCACAGAAAGGTTGCTGGGAAGCCCTCAGTATGCTTTGTAAATAAACTCCCCTCTCTCAGGCAAGCCAGCAGAAAGGTTAGTAAGGTCAACTGTTGTGCTGAAGCTCGGCCTTGTTCTCCATATTAACTTCCACTCCCTCACATCCTGTCCTCAGAAATAGATTCTTTGATTCTCTCCATATCTGTTTTTTGCAGATTTTCTACACATGTCTGGGGTATATAGAATATACTTTTGGACAGCTTTAAGAGCTTGGCTGGGATAAAGCACTTTTGTTTTAGGTGGGATCCTGCCAAGCTCCCAATTAAACTTAATATCTTTTGTGTATTTATGTACCAGCCTCAAAAGTAGCCGTCTAGTCAGGAGTGTAATCCCTCTGACGCACCTACATCCCCCAAGGTAGTATGTCGCTCCTCCGACCATGAAGGAAGACAAAGGAACGACATGCACCATGAACAGCTACAGTATCAGAGCTGGATGGGGAGCCAGAATTTTAGGCTTAGAGCAAATGGCAGCGTTTCAAGCAAGATGAGAGACGGTGGTTTTGGGATGAGATGAAGAGTCAGTTGGGTGGGGCTCGTCCTGGCAACGTTGCTCCCAATTTTTTTTTATTTTCAAAACTCTTTCAGCTGACTTCCCCCAAAATACACAGGAACCGTCATTACCCAACATTGGCCACTTCTGCTATGTCATATTTGTTCCATCCAGTTTTGATCCATGCCAGTGGAGTGCTCCATTAGGAATGGATAGGACCTCTTACAGGAAAGGCACACAAGGAACAGACGGGCTGAAGTGATGTCACCCCTGGGAGACTGGGATGAAACGATGGGTGAGGCAGCTTGGTGCAATGGAGACCAGCTCTTTTTTTTCCCTAGAAGAGCATTGTTTGAAGACCTTGAGCAAGCAGTTTAGGGTGTATAACATGGATTCATGGCAGCAGTGGAATGGCACTCAAGCTATGCAGCTCAGGGGGCCGAATTTGTACATAGCCTTTTTCTGGAGGACTCAGAAGTTCTTATGAAATACAGATGGGTGTGACCTTGATGGTGAAATAGAGTTGTAATCCCCATTGATGCATTGTTAGGTATGCATTGGTATAGATCTTTCAGATGTATCTGATGCATCATAGATTTAGTCAGTCTTGTGTGTTTTCTTTTATTCCGGACCATTTTTCCTTTTCATATCCCCGGGGCTTCAGCATCATAGACCTCATCTTCTCTGACCTTGCGCAAGCTCACCACTTGGTGATGGATTTGGTTGTTTATTTTTCTCCAGATTGAGGGATCAGGTATCAGCATTACTTGTCCACAGCTCCAGTAGCCGGTCTTTCTCATTGTCTTCTGAATGTTATATTATGACTGAATGTTTTTCCTGTTGGGTTGCCATGAATTCACTCTCCGAACGCTGCTGTGATTTGTGATCATGTTGTGTTGTTGAAACATTCATTAATCAGACCTGGGGAGTCTCGCATCAGTCAGTACCGAAGTCTACGTCTGTGATAGAGACCCAATAGCCTGGCACAGCTATACTGGGATTGTGTGTAATATCTTGATTTGTCTTGCTCCACTACCCACCTTTCTTGGCGTTAAACATTTGCTATGTGTGTCTTTCAGCCACTTAAAACATGTAGTAGGTGTGTAGGCCTGCAACCTCTCCCGAGGGTATTGTACCTTAATATTTTCCAAGTAGTCACAGTTCAGTGGGGGAATTTCATGTGATGACAAGAAATAGCAAAAACTGGGATATGGAACATGCCCAACTGCTTTTCATACCTTGTAATGGCTGATCTCCTAGGGAGACTAGACCATCACTGTTGCCATGGTAATCAGAACATGCTCTGGGCACGATTGGAAACACGTTGGGGGCTGCGGAGGGGGAATTTTCACAAATGAGACTGTAAAAGTACAGATTGAGGCATTTTGCTGAGCAACCAGCATGACATCGGAACCCCTGATAAACCTAAAACTCCCAGAAGTCATTGGGGCCCTATCACTGGAAGGTCTCCCTTTGTTAAGCTGTTATGAACCTCACTCTCAACTCTGCTGAGTAACAGGTTCTCAAACTCTGATCCCACGGTTCTCCCATGTTGTACTCAACCGTGTGACCCTGGGCTGATGGTTCTGCTCTGATCTGTCTTTTCCAGACTCATGTGCCAGTGTCTGATATTTCTGCTGTATAATTACCCCCACAGCCACCCATCAGAGGGGGAGATGCTTGGCAGAGGGCCTCATGATAGGAAAGGCAAAGGGAGGCTGACAGCTGTGAGAGAGCTGACCCTTGTAAATGTGGATCCTGCTTTTTGCTGGAAAATTGGGCAGTGATTGAAACCCCCTTCCCCCCCAGCGTGACGCACAAGTGCCTCAGGCATGGGAAGCAGTGCATCAGAGCCCTGGCACTTTTTCAGGTGTGAAGGCTGCTGAGTGTTGAAATTTGGGTCATTTTGGACTATCCGGTGGGTGGAATCAGGTTCTGCCTTCTGAGATGCAGGACTGTCAACTGGCGGTTGCCTCATAACATCAGATGAATGGCAGGATGGAGACACATAATAATTTTAGTCTCCTGGGGATCTTTCTGGTTTGTCGGTATCATTTCAAAAGGGTTTCGGTGTTTCTTGGCCGCGTTGTGCTGTTTGGGAGTAATTCTGGGTGGTGTTTGCACACATCCGCGGTCTTATAACGGTATAATACTTTGTCGTATTTTTCATTTTCAGCTTTTTTTTTCTCTTTTTTTTTAATAATCAGCAGTTGTGTGAGGAAGAGCTTGACCTACAATACCCTCAGCTGAAAGAGGATGTGATGCTGATGGTTGTTCTGAGTATCTGAGAAAAGTTTGAGCATAATCCTCAGTCCAGCTGGACTGTAGCTGGGTGATTATAGTTCTGTGTGATGCATATCCGGGGACCGCTTGAGGAACCTGGAACCAGCTAATGGCATAGTGCATCACCCCTCTACAGGGCATGGCCTTCACGCTGGAGGAGAGGCAGCAGCTGGGGATCCACGGTCTGCTGCCCCCCTGCTTCCTCACGCAGGACGTGCAGGTGCTGCGGGTGATGAAGAGCTACGAGACCCGGAGCAACCCCCTGGACAAGTGAGGACCTCGAAAACCCAGTACACTTCCGAACACACGTGCCGCTCCCACGGAACAAAGCAGATGTCCGCACCTGATACACAGTCCCAGCAGCAGGATCGCTCTAACAAAGGCGAAAGCCAATGCTTAACCTACAACACATGTCTTAAAGCGAGACCCAAGCCAAGAGTAAAATATATATCCCATCATCTGACATTACCAATGTGGGACCGTCGCCAGCCTATCACCAAGGGCGTGCCGTTTAAATAAACACAGTTTCTGGTTATTGTTTTACCGAGTTTTTTTTATTTTTTTTTTTATTAGGCTTTGCCAAACACGACCCGTCGCCATAACTGTGTGCGTGAGCCCATGACCTCCTGTGTGAGACCCACCCATCCTCTGTGGTCTGCCCCCCCCCCCTCCCCACACACCCCTTTTGTAGGTACATCCTTCTGATGACTCTGCAGGACAGGAATGAGAAGCTCTTCTACCGCGTGCTGACCTCCGACATTGAGGAGTTCATGCCAATCGTGTACACTCCCACCGTGGGGCTGGCCTGCCAGCAGTACGGCCTGGCCTTCCGGAGGCCACGGTGAGCTTGACACTCGCCGACCGTTTTATCTACAGAGATACAGGGTTGGTGTGCCACTAATTCCTGCATTTCCATTACAGTCTTTGCAGACCTTACCCATACTTCTCTAAACTCACAAACGGTCCCTTCTTATTTTATTTTATTTTTTTTACACTGGCACTTAGATTGACTTTCCTCTGGGTCCTCAGACTCCATTTCTCCCGCCTTAAATAGCACTCAGAGTCGCTGTGGGGTCTGTAATGCCTCTTACAGTCTTGTTGGGCCCTTTAAAGTGAATCCTATCTCAGAATCTCAAAAGTACACATACACAAAAATGTCTTGGGAACTCGCAGAGGGAAATGTTCCCAAAATGGCCCCCCTGGGGAGGGCTCTGAACTGGAAATCCCCTGAACAGGAGAGGTGAGTCAGATGCAGCAGGGGTGGCCCCCAATGTGAAGCTGCTGTGCGTCTCCGGGTGGGGGGGAGGGGCGAGGAACACCCTCGCTCTCTGAGGAGGCACCAGCCATTCGCTCCTTGAGGAGTGACCTGCTGCGCTCCTATTTCCATGTGCAAATGCTCCCCTTTGTGTAGGTGTCAGGATGTCTGTTCTCTTCATTGTTTTGATTATTATACACTTGTTATTGTCCTTTAAGTCATCAGTGGGTTTCCCTGTTAATACACAGGACAACCTCTGCAAAGTGGTGTCCCATAAAAATATGCCCTGAATACATTATTTAATTTTGATACTGCATTTTAAAGCACTTTGTTGTTGTTCTGTCGCTGTATTGTTGGTGCTTATATGATTGCTTATGGCACGTCTTGTATGTGACCCACTCCAGAGGCCTGTTTATCACCGTCCATGACAAGGGTCACATTGCCACTATGCTCAACTCCTGGCCAGAGGAGAATATCAAGGTAAATGGTGGTGTGGGAGGGATGCTGGTCACTGGGGTGTAAATATAGTATGTGGGTTATTCAGTAACTTGGTAAATGGTTGTCAGAACAGTAGACGGCCGGACTGAAGGCTGATCGTTGTGTAACCGCTGTTCCTGTGTATGCGTGTCTTGCTTGCAGGCCATTGTTGTTACGGATGGTGAGCGAATCCTCGGGCTGGGTGACCTGGGCAGCTACGGCATGGGCATCCCTGTGGGCAAGCTTGCCCTTTACACCGCCTGCGGAGGGGTACCACCCCAGCAGTGCCTACCTGTGCTTCTGGATGTGGGAACAGACAACCAGGTACTGCAGCCTGGGCAGGCAGCCAGGAAACCCTCAGGCTTTCTGGCCTGGTGCAGGCCCGTCTTTCCTTGTGTGCAGCCGTGTCCCTGAATATGGGATCTCTAAGACCTTGAAATGCATTGAAACCCAGCCTTGTGCCTTTTTTTTCCCTGAGATCTGTTCATGTTTAAGAGCATCACTGGTTAGGAGGCATTCGAGCATGTGGGCTAGCATATGGTTACACTGACACAAATGCTTCTCCCATAGATAGCCTGAGAAAGAAATGGAAATGCGTCTTTGGAATACAGTTAACTGACTGCGGCTTAAATTGCGAGTGCATGACCGTGAGGCAGACAGTGAGGCAGACAGTGAGGCAGACAGTGAGGCAGACAGTGAGGCAGACAGTGAGGCAGATGACCCAGGCCTTTGACAGCATGGGGACAGAGAGAAGTTACAGATTTGCTAGCACGAGAGTCAGGCGGATCTGGCTTTTGGAGAGAATGTCAGCTCCACAACCCTAATTTTGCACATCAGGACCCAGACTTCCATTTTACAAGCATTCTTGAAGGATCCCAGGAGCAGACAGATATCAGTGTGGGTTAAACAGGGCCTGGATATTGATGTCTCACAATCCCGCCTCTACGGAGATGATCAGATGCACAGAACTCCTTATGCTTATGTCATAGTGCAGGACTTGCATACTGTCATCTGGTTGGTTATCACGTATCTCTTTGAAGATGTCAGAGTCTGTAACTGGCTGAGATGACATAGTGAATTATGGCTCATTGTAATTATTCCTTTTTTTTGGCACAGACACTTCTTGATGATCCCCTCTACATCGGGCTGAAGCACAAGCGTGTGCGAGGGAAGGAGTATGACGAGCTCATCGACGAGTTCATGCAGGCCGTGACTGACAAGTGAGCGAGTCTGTTTACACTGCATCTCTCAGTGACATGTGTCAGGCTCCACCGTCTGTCTGTCTGTCTCTCTCTCACCCATTATCTCTGTCTGTCTGTCTGTCTGTCTCTCTCTCACTTATTATCTCTGTCTGTCTGTCTGTCTGTCTGTCTCTCTCTCACTCATTATCTCTGTCTGTCTGTCACTCTTTCTGACTGTCTTTCCTCTCTGTCTCTCTGCTTCCTTATCTCTGTATGTCTTCCTGCCTGTCTGCCTCTCTCTCTCTCTCTTTCTGTTCTTCTCTCTGTCTGTCTGTTTCTCTCTCTCTCTCTCTCTTTCTCTGTGTCTGTCTGTGTCTCTCTGTTTGTCTCAATGTCTGTCTATCTGTTGATGTTGGAGTCATGAGAAAACTGCTAATTCATGAGCACATAAGCGATACGGAAATTTATCGGACCCATTGCCGGGGGTTGGGGTAACAATGCCTTATTTGTGTCTGGAGTTTTTTGGTTGGGGGGGGGGGTCACAGCCTTTTTTTCTTTGGAGCCTTCTCTGGGAGGGACAATGCCATACAGAACCGCAGACACGCACACCAGCTTCACATCGCTTGAGTGTCCAAAATGTGGACTCTGAGCGTGAGGGGTGCGTGTTCTCAGAGTGACTCACTGAGAGGTCTGTTGGTTCTGGACGGGCAGGGCCTTGCGGATCTGTTTGGGCTCAGCTGTCGTCTGACATGCAACATCTGAGAGCCATTAATAGAGGCATCTCATCGATTCGATCCGCAGCCCTGCAGATTTTGTGTCCCACACCCACTCTTTCCATGTCTCCTACCCACACATTCATCATTCTCTCTTCGTTGCTTTCAGCTTTAGTCCTATGTTGCAGTTATAGGACTCACTTGTCTGACTTAGGGCTGGTCCTTATTAATAAACAGAAATGTCAGCTAATCGAATTAGGAAAGAACAAATACACACTTTGGTACTATAAACAGAACCAAACAAAGGCCGGGTGGGGATGTGAATTGGGTTTGTTGGGTTTTGACAGCCAGGACACCTCCCGGTGTCACATATTATCAGCCAATGACTGAAGAGCAAGGGGGTTGTCAGCCCAGGCCTGGGGGAGCTCATTACAGGGGTGGGGGGTTCATTAAGCACATCTGTCGGTTTTGCTGTGATCTTATACTTTTGGGTGTTTATGAAGGCATTGTGTCAAATACCAATAGATAAGATTATTACACTGATCCTATATTAAAAGGGCACAGACTGGAGAAATTCGGTGTAACTTGATGGCTTCAGTGACCACGGTGCCTGTTGTCCTGAAAAATACTCGTTCTGTCCTTTAAGAGTTTTGCAGTTATACTCTGATGCTGTTTGGTTGGGTAATAGAAGGTGATTCTATGTGGCTGGATCTGGGACTTCGCCGTGATGTAAAGTTTACTTTGATTTGACGATTCGCCGGTGCATCTGTAACTAAGTACTTTTTCATTCTTTGTGTTTGACCCCCAGCACCATGTGCCTCATCCACTGGTCTAACTGTCTGTCTCTGTGTCCCGCAGGTACGGGATGAACTGCTTGATACAGTTTGAAGATTTCGCCAACAGCAATGCCTTCCGCATTCTCAATAAGTACCGAAACCGGTACTGTACGTTCAACGACGACATCCAAGGTGCCCCCCCCCCCCGTCGCACCCCTCGCTCTCAGTTGGGCCTCACTGTACAGGTGCCAGCCAGCTCCTAGGAACCTGGGGAACCATTAGCTTGACTCCCCTGCAGTTGTGTAGTTAGCATGGGTGAAAGAGGGATTTTAAGTAAACAAGGGCAGTGTAATGTCTCCTTTCCATGGGTTGTGGTGCCCCCCACCCAGACCCTCATGACTCAGACTTATCTGGCAGCGTAACCCCCCCCCCCCTTTCCTGAAGTCCCGACCCCGTATCCCTTTCCTCCCACGGCTATCCTCAGTTAAGCTGTCCCAGCATGCAAATTGTACTGACTGAACCCATGTCAGGAAATGAACATTTTTCTTTTTTTTTCACCTGGAGAGAGCATTTAGTGACAACCTGTCACTGTGTAGTAATTCTGACAAAAGTCTGCACTGCCCCCTAGTGGTGTTGAGTACATACTGCAAAGTTGTGGAACTTTTTGCTTCACATTTTTGCTAACTCCTCCTGAGAGTGTTATTTATTGTGCCTCTTTCAGGTACCGCCGCTGTGGCAGTGGCTGGGATTCTGGCAACCCTAAGGATAACCAAGAATAAAATCTCTGACCACAAGTTCGTGTTTCAGGGGGCAGGAGAGGTGTGGAGCCGTTACCTTAAATCTGTGATCTCGCATGTTGACAAAATTGCAACGCAGAGTGTGATCATGTGACCTCAGTGTTTATGACGTCGCCCCGCAGGCCGCGATGGGCATTGCGCAGTTGCTGATCATGGCCATGGCCAAGGAGGGTATCCCTCATGCTGAGGCCATCAAGAAGATTTGGATGGTGGATTCCAAAGGCCTCATCGTCAAGGTAATCATGCCTCCTGAGGAATGCCCAGGAGTACGCTCGTGAAGTGTGTGGCTCGAGACGTCATCATGTGATCTGCAGGGCCGAGGTCACCTGAACCATGAGAAGGAGGAGTTTGCTCATGATCACCCTCAGGTGAAAACCCTGGAGGAGGCGGTGCAGAAGCTCAAACCCACAACCATAATCGGTGAGTGACTTTCACAGGGGCCACCAGGGAACAGCCTGCGGCTCATCAGGCTCCTGGGACAATCCCATGTTCCCATTCAAGTCACTTCATTTTTATACAGTGGCTTTTTCAATAGAGTTCCCCCAAGGCACTTAACAGGGGGGCGGCAGTTCATAATTGCATAATTTATACAAAATGATGAAAAGGGGAAGGGGAAAGGAATGAATGAAAAATGAAGGAATGCTAATTATAGTGGAGTTTAGTCAGAACCGTACCGTACAGTTATTTCCAAAATTGACCGAAAATTATGAAATCCAGGTGTCTTGCCATAATAATAATAATACTGATGATGTAATAGATGGTAATATTTTTCTGTTTATTCTGATAACGGATAACAGTAAGAGAGGCCAGTTTAAATTGCTCAAAATAATCTCCAGTCGCATCTCTGCAAATCCTCTGAGGCTCGCGTGAGACAGATAGTGGGCGTCCTGTGAGTCATGCTTTTTCCTGAGGATGCCCCCCTCTCTCTCTCTGTAGGCGTGGCTGCCATTGGTGGGGCTTTCACAGAGAAGATCATCAAAGACATGGCAAGCTTCAATGAGCGTCCCATCATCTTCGCCCTCAGTAATCCCACCAGTAAGGCAGAGTGCACGGCGGAGCAGTGCTACAAGTTGACGGAGGTAACGCCCACCTTTGACCCTGACCTTTGACCTCCCTTTTTCACCTTGTGTCTCTGTGAGTGATGGCTGGTGTCCTGCCCTCTTTAATTCAGGGCAGGGGCATCTTCGCAAGCGGAAGCCCCTTCAAGAAGGTGACCCTGGCGGATGGCCGCACCTTTTACCCCGGGCAGGGCAACAACGCCTACATTTTCCCGGGCGTGGCTTTGGGTGTGATGGCCTGTGGCGTGCGTCACATCTCCGATGAAATCTTCCTCACTACGGCCGAGGTCAGCAGCCCTGTCCCACGCTGCTCCGTGCTGCCACCTATGCCCCTAACCCTGCCCCTATGCCCCTAATCCTGCCCCTATGCCCCTAATCCTGCCCCTACACCCCTAATCCTGCCCCTACGCCCCTAATCCGTCTCCTTGTGCTCCTAATCATTCACCTCCTTCCCCATCAGGCTTTAGCAGAGATGGTTACTGAGGAGCATTTAGCGGAGGGCCGACTTTACCCCCCTCTGAGTACCATCAGGGAGGTGTCCTTCAAGATTGCGCTGAAGGTCAGTGGAGAACTTGCTGTAAAATAAATTTCTCACAGCGATGAAACCCACCACGCTGACCGTCTCTTTGGCTGCTCCCTCAGATCGTGGACTACGCCTACAAGAAGGACATTGCCTCCTGGTACCCAGAGCCCAAAGACAAAGAGGCCTTTGTCCTCTCTCATGTCTACAGCCCCGACTACGACTCCTTCACCCTGGACTCCTACAGCTGGCCCCAACACGCCATGGCAGTCCAGGACGTCTAAGGCGTTGTGACACTGGTCACTTCCACGTCTCCGCGTTCCTTCCGCGAGCACTCCTCTTCCCCCGTTACCGTTTCCCTCTCTTCGCTCGTGATCCTCAGCCTGAGGGGTAGACTCCATTATTTTTTAGTTCTGCCATTTTATGTTGTCGATTTAAGCACGATTAGCGAGTCTCTTGACAGATGTTTTAAGACACTAGGGTGATATTAAGAAAGCTTTTAAAGATGTACGATTGTTAGGTTTGATTTCAATTCTGAATGGTCGTAGAGACAGAGAGGCAATACACAGTGTGACACAAAGTCATTTCGATGGCATCTAAAGGCAGCGACTTTAAACTCCAGTGTTAGGTAAGCAATGCTATCTTCAGCAAGCTTTTACCTCCTTATCATTATAGAAACATGAAGGATGCTTGTCGGTCCGGAACTTTCAAGTCCTCACACTCCAGTCTAAGTTCTAACCAGGACCGGAAACTTACATTTCTATGGCTTCTATTTTGTGTTTAAAACGTCCCAGTGAACTTCAAAAATATCCAGAAATGCTGTCCACTGTCCAGCCTTCACACTCCATCCTGTGCTCTTCCCCAATCACTCCCTTTTATTTGTTTTTTAATCCATCGACTGCTCTTTCTCCTTGGTCTTGCAGCACCCTGTCAGTTCCTGTACGTTTGATCTTATTGTCCTCTGTTAAACCACCTAAATTCCGATGTACTGTATTTACGAAGGACTCTTTGTAAAAGAAAGTCTGTAACCAGAAAATGTTCCAACTTAATTGTATCGCTACGTTTTATATAAAGCTTAGACTGATTCCTGGTGTCCGATTTTGCCGGAATGTTTGGGATTTTAGGGGAGGCCAGCGTCCTCTGAGTGTTTGTGTGCGATGGGCATGTGGGTTTCTCTGAATTTGCCCATGAGTCACTATTCATTTTTCACAAGGCCTAAAACTTGGGTTAACTGCTGCAGATCCATGTTCACGTCACATGGGCAGAGGAAGCACAATTACTGAGTATCGAAGTTTACACGACACGTCTTTAAGTGCCATTCAAGTACCAAAGACTGATGGTCTCAGCGGACATTTGAGGGTGATTCTAACATTTATCAAAATATTAGTTCTGTTGGTAATGAAGGAAAAAGTGCTTCACTCTGACGATCTGCTTTGCTTTCCCAGAATGCATGATTGCTAAATTCTGATCCAATTTAGATTCACTCATATCTGTTTCATGCTTAATTCACGCGTCGGGGGGAGAGAGATGCGGTCATACCATGCCTCTCTATCATCTGCTGGGCTGTGAGTAAAAATTTGCTATTTTGTGATGGACACTTTCAGCGTTGGGATGTATGAAGTGTGCTTTGGCTACTAATGCCTTACAAAGGAGAAATTCTGGACAGAAAAATAAGGTAATACAATAATAATGTAATAAATTTATGGAAATCACTCTGGATTCTAATTTTCTTAGACCACATGTGGATTCGCACACAAAGGGTCACATGTTTGGGCCTCTGCTGAAAAGACTCACTTTTTTTGCCACATGACCTGAGGTTACAGTTTGGCACATCTGCAGTTGTGGGTTGCGGCACGCATGGGGCAGAAGTCACCAATTAATTGTGCAGTGTCGCCTCCCCACTGCCCCCTGGTGGAGGTCAGTGCCTGAGGAGCGGAGCCAAGGCAAGAAACAGATGTGGATGTTACCTGGTTCAGTGATCAGCTTCATGAAGCATGTTATCTATGTGACATTTGAACAAGCAGCTCATCACTAGCAACACGTGAAGCAAACAAGGTCACATGAAAAGCTGTAGATGATCATACTGCGGGATTTTCTGATTTTTATAATACACCCTCCGTGTTTCTTTATTCCATGTTCTTCGCTGCTCCACCTTCTTCATCTACTCATCACCTAAGTTTCTTTTGATCCTTGCAGGATTTACGGTCTGTTGCAGTCGTACATTCCAGTGTGTGCTGTGACTTAGGTATGCAGTCTAGGTTTGTGTCTGGAGACGCCTTGTAGAGCAAAGTTACTCCTTGGGCAGGTTGCTGAGGCCTGTGGAGCCCTTCGCCCTTAAATCTCAGATCAATGAAAGGTTGCTGACCCCTTGGGGCTCAGTTAAGAACCCCTGCTTTAGATGCTGGACCGTCATGAAGACATTCCCCAACTACTTCTTACATGAGAAGGGAGGCATGAAGCAAAGGAGCATGATTATTGAGAAATCTCTAGAAACACGCCCGTCCGGATGTTCTCTACCATTCCTTCACAGGTGGTTATTTATAGGTAATGACAGATTTCATTCCTGTAGGGCCCTCTCTTGCACAACTCCTGTGTGCCCTCAGTTTCACTAGTGACAGCACCAGTATCTGTTACTGTTATAGTGTTAGAGCCAATGTACTCACCCGTACGCTGGATTTTGGTTTTGCAGTGATACAGTTTTGGTGGAGTTCAGCTTATCTTCACCTGATTTCTTGTTCGAGGACATTTCTTGGGGGAAAAGATCAAAAACATGTAATGTTATTCAGCCCATACTGTGAACAAGCCACCTCTGGCCGGGATTTTCTCCTATATCCACAGGACAGTCTTTGCGGTGTTATTTTCCCTTTGGAGAGATGGTGCAAGTTCTTATTTAACCTGTTTTGTCCAGCCATCTGCCAATGTGAGGCCGCATAAATAAATTCCAAAACATAAAAATATCTCTTGTCGGGTGATTAAAAACAAATGCCATCCTTATTTTTATGATATTCTACACTGTGTTTTTGTGTGTGTGTTTTAGGAAAGTTAGTGATCGCGTAGTAGTTGTTGTCCTATTTGACAGTGTGAGTCTATATGTGAGAGATTGTGATTGTCTGTGTCAGCGTCTCTTGATCTCCTTGGACTACTTAAACTGATAGTCAGAAATTGCTTGCTTTCTTGGAGACCTCAGTGATGTATTTGCCAAGTATTCATTTATCTGGCAGGTATTTTGAATGTCTCGAGAACTGAGTATCCTGTTTCCACTCTTTGGAAAGTTCAGAGAAAAACCACAGGAGAACGTGTCAGAAGGCACATCACACTTTAGAGTCAATAACAGCGGCCTCAGTTTAATCAGACGTTACGCACATGCCGTTCTTGTGTGTATTTTAAAAAAAAAAAAAGAAAAAAAAGAAGCATGGCCAAAAACAGACACTTCTTCGGTTGTGCGTGTTTATAAAAACTGTCAGCTCTGTCTGAAAAGTTCTTCCCTGAGATAAAATCCCACGCCTGTGACCTACACTCTCATGCGAGTGATCAGAAAACAGACAGGTTTTCTTTTTCGTGTGTGACCAGGGTTAATGATTATTAACTTTCTTTTTGAAAAGTTGCTTTGTTTGGTCTCTCCTGATCACAGATATATTCAGTACTTGCCCCATCCTGGGTTGTTTTTCTGCCTTACACCCGTAGCCTCCGGGATAGACTCCGGACCGAGGATAAGAGGATAAGTGGTTTCGGAAAATGGATGGTATTGAACTTACTTGCACTGAATCATAGGTATTTATTTGCTTTTATATTTTTAGACCGAAATGCTTTCTGACGCACATCTCATTTCAGTGGAATTCTGTCAATGTTTAATCTGGGTTCAGAAAGTCTGGCGACGTCACGATCAAAAGGCAGCAATGTGTCTTTTGAATAATACAGGTTATATATATATTTTTGCGCTCTAGTTGCATAATCTGCTGTGATTGGCAAGTTTCCTCCAGGTTCCCCAATGCCCAAAAATACAATTTGGCAAATCCCAGTTGCTGATCTGCCCTAGAGTGTGATTGTGTGTGTGTGTGTGTGTGTGTGTGTGTGTCTGTGTCCTGCGATGACCTGGCGTCCCGTGCCGAGTGCAGTCTGCCTTGTGCCTTATACTTCCTGGAACAGACTTCAGACCCCACCCTGGAGCCCCGTAAGAGATACGCAGAACAAGATGGAAGGCGGATAAATAGGTGCATTCGGGGTTAATGTATTTACATGTTTTTTGATCACACACATTTGCATCCTACAATGTGTCATTTTTCTCTTTGGTCTTGGGTAGGACCTTCAACCTATGATCTGTTTCTCTTTACACCTTACAGACAAAATAAAATGTAATCAATCCAGGCCTTTAATCTGAATTTAAGTAACCCTGCTTTGTGCTTGAGTGCTTGTATCTAGTGAGTATCTAGTTTAGCTGCAGTGATATTCTGTTGGTGTGGACTTTCTGCATAAGGTCTGATGCCAACTTTGTTTTATTTTGATAAATTCAGATGATAAGCACAAATATTTGTATATTTTCAAAACTGGGAAATGGAGGGAACTCATGAAAAGCCACAATACAGAAATGATGTCCGATATTACAAATTCATTATGCTGACCATTTTCTTTTCACTCTTCAAACCTCATGCAGTTTCTTCTGCTTTTCTACAGCTGAGAATTTCTCTTCTAAATATTTGGAGCTAGTGTCAACCTCCGCGGCCAGAGTTTCAAAACGTCAGTTCCTCATGCGTGTAGAAACAACTGCAATGGGCCCAAGGGACGGGATCATTCATTTATATATATATATATGAATGATCCTGTATACATATATATATATATGAATGATCCTGTATATATATATATATA